AGACAAAATAAAGCTCACCAACTACTACCATCATTAATTTATTAACCCCTTAATGGTCGCATAAAAAAACAGTCATAATAGTGCCTGTTTTTTTTATTCAAGAAAATTATTTAAAATTAAAAATATAAAGTGCACGCACAATACATGTATTCATTGTAAATTTTTGTATTAATTTTTAGCTTGAAATAATGATAAGTGCTGACATACAGTTTAAAATGAACTATCTCTAAACACGTTACATATAGTGCGGTACTGCCATCTAGTGTATAGATTGAAAAATAATCATGATTTTGGGAATAAGAAATAGGTAGTTTAAATTTTTTTGGGGCATTACTTCTGATCACTGCAGCCCGGAAGCTAATTTGTCTTTACCGACTAGCTCTCTTTTTTGGAGATTTTCCTCTTTGGTGTAGTTGGGCGCAATCATAATGCAAGTTTTTATTTCTTTTAAAATTTGTCCCCTAAATTAAAGGAAAAAATACAAGAATTATTCATTTTATTTAATAAAATGTGAAACAGAAGAGCGGGTCGTTAAAGCCCCTGGATTGGAAAACGGCTGCCCGAAAATGTCGCTGGGACGAGAAATAGGGGGCATGGTATAAGGTCTGATAACAAATGTTTCAGTAAACGACAAAAGTGGCTTTATGAAAAAGCTGGTATTGCATATAGCATTAAATTGGATGTGTACTGCTAACTTTAAATAAAAAAAATTAATAAGATTCCGTTTGTTAAGATTCACTGGTCTTAGGGTAGAAATGTTAATTAAGTAAAATATGACAAATTTTTTTTAAAACTCTGAATAAAAGGAGAGAAACTGTAATTGTCTAAACCAGTCAATTTGAGCATTAAATTAAAGATTAAATTAAAGATTAGGGCAAGGCAAACAAGTTTCTGGCCCACAGAAAAACTCAACTGCTTTGTTATGATTTTAATCAATTCTTAGTAATTTTTACCAAGAATTTTTTAAATTCATTTTTTATCTTTAAAAATGATATTGGCCCCTTCTAATGTACATAGTTTTTTTTACTTGAATTTACACTATTTAAAAAAAATGTATATTGAAAGATATAAACAAAAACCAATTAGCATGAAGTCTTACACAATAAATATTTCCTCTACCTTCTTTTCTAATAACAAATTATGTATGATGTACAATGTGTTGATATTAAGATATTGTCAAAACTACCAGAATATGATAAAATTTATTGTGTTTCTGTCTCTATGAGAAAACTAAAAAGCACTGTCATTTTTACCGAATCATTTTGGTTCTGATTTTGGTAGAATACTCCATTCAATATAGCAATATTGAATGGAGAGAGAATATCATTAAAGATTTTAAAATCAATATTAAAAGGGACAAATTAGTTTTTCAAAAGGATTTAATTTTTAACTCTGTTTTAAGACAAGATATTAAAAATATTCAAAATAAATTTTGTATAACCACTGTTGATAAAGCTAGTAATAATTTTGCAATTATTTGAAAATTTTTTTACAAACAACTTCTTTCCAATGAACTTAATAGCAATATTACCTACAAAAAACTTAACACCAACAGTGATATTATTATTAATAAAATTAATGCTATCTATAAAAGACTTAAAATTAAACCAAATAATATTAACAATTTTCCTTTTCTTTTTGCCAATCCAAAATTCCATAAGACTCCAACCAAATTCAGGTTTATTGCAAGTGGCGTTAATAGTAACATGAAAAAAATCGGTATTTACTTTGAGAACATTCTTAAAAAAGTTTATAACAAAATTAATAAACTTACTAAAAATAATAACTATTTAAATTGGAATATTAAAAATAGCATTCAGGTTTTAAATACACTAAAAACTTTAAAAAATGTAGATTCAATTCACTGTTTTGATTTCGAAAACCTCTATACTTCCCTTCCAACTAATAAAATTCATGATGACCTTCTTCAAATTCATAGCATGTTTAATCTCAGTGATATTATTAATGAAGATAACTGGAACTTTCTAGTACATATTAACCTTAACAACAATTATATTCTTTTCAATGACCACCTTTTTCAACAAATTAATGGTATTCCCATGGGAAATAATTTCAGTACTAACATCTGCAATATTTTTCTTTTTCTACAAGAATATAGATTTGTAAAATCACATGTTAATCTTCCAATTGATTCTCTCTTTCTCAGATTCATTGATGATCTATTAGTTATTAATTTTAATGATTTCGATATTCTAGCAAAACATATTTATCCAAATGAATTAATTCTTAATAAAACAAATAATAGTAATTCTTCAGCAAATTTTTTAGATTTGACTCTTAATATTAATGCAGATAAAAATATTACATTTAAACTTTTTGACAAAAGAAATGAATTTAAATTTCCAGTTAAAAAATGCATAGATTTCAACTCTAACTTAGCCAATAAGGTTTTTTCTAATATTATTGCCAATCAAATTCATAGATTTTACAGGAATAATTCTAACTATAACGAGTTTTTATTAGATACTGATATATATAAAAACGATTTAATTAATAGCCATTTTCCTAGTTCATTTCTTAATTTCTATTTTAAAAAAATCTTAAAAAACTTGGTACATTAATTTTTAATTTTTATTTAATTTTTCTGTTTTAAGAATAAGCTCTGATTTTTTCAAGGTAGGAACTAACTATGATAAACTATTCCTAAAGCCACTGGACGGAATAGTTTGGATGTATGACCTTTTATACTGGATTAGTTAAATATTTTTTAGTTACTTTTTAATATTTGTAGCCTCTTAAAATTAATTTAATTTTAATTGTCCAGTATAATAAACAGTTTATTTATTTATTTATTTATTTAATTATTTTTATTTTTGTATAAGTGGAATGGGCTCTGGTTCGTAAAGAACCACCCCAAATGAATGCAGGTGATACGTGTATACTTTAAAATTATGTAAGGTTGTATGAATGAAGAATAAAACCTATAAACGGTTTTCTATTCCTGNAAATGTCAATAAAAAATCCTCTTGTAAAAAATTTATAAAAAGACAAAAAATAACATTTGTACAAAATCAAAAATAGAGTTTCTTCAAAAATTTTTAGTAACTCTTAAAAGTAACTTTGTTTTACTTTGTGAATGCTTTTGCTTAATAAGTGTTTACTTTTTTGCTTGTCAATAGGAAAAAACAAGATTCCATATTAGAAGACAAACCACTTAAGATTAAAAAACATTGTTGTCGCATAATACCAAATAAAAATACTAATGTTTATAGCATTAGCACTTTGACGTAGAAATTTTATTAAACATTATTCTCGCAACATTGGCGATCAAATATTTAATTCTGGTGGGTAAGTTTCATCTTTTGAAACGATGAGTTGTAACTTAAGCTATTTTCATTTAGAATATCATGCCTCAATTTTAAAGTACAGTAGTATGTATATATATATATACATATATATATTATAGTTATAATTTCTTTGATCAAATTTACTTTTCATTTTTTTATTTTTTACAAAATATGTAGCAATAATAAAAATAATTTTCAAAATCATAATTTCCGGTTAACTGCTACCATAATCTTAATAACCAGAATTATGATTTTTGTAAACCCGAAATGTATTTTTACCATACACAACTGCTATTCTACTAGAATTTTGCTCCCCATGTGGTATCAAATGCTTAAAAATATTTGGCATAAATATATATGTATCCATCACATCTCATACTTTCAGCACGGTCAAACAACACTAATTTTATTTGAAGCAACTCTAAGACTTAGTGAAGGGATTTCTTCATAGATTGATATTTAACAGAAATGAAAAGCTAAACGACATTTTCGCTAGAGAAAAATCAGTTTTAAAATTTGTGTATGGTTTTCTTATGTTACATCACTCAAGAACTATCTTTTTTGGTAATTTTGTTAAGGGGGGACCCCACCCTGAATATTTCAAAAATTCGAAAAAAAATTTATTGCATTTTTCGAATCTTTGCACCCTTCCTAATGTCTGTTTAAAACGATTTCTCGGTACGTAACTTCGTTTGGAAGTTATACCGGAAAATAGAGAGTCGTCGATAAGCAGGTAGAAAGGTCCGTTCTGCCGGATTAAGAGGGCGACATTTTTTTTTTATTTGTGTCTCATCCATTCTGTTGACTGTATATCGTAACTTATTGTAGGCATTTCATTTATGGACCATTATATATATGAAATTAAAAGTTTTCCCCTACCATAAGTCAAAACTTTAAACTCGATTTTCTCAAACCGCTGTTTTTTGACCTGGCCTAACGTTTTTTTCATGATCTATACAACGAAATAAGCTGTTCTTTATTTTAAATTACGTAAAAATATATTCTTTAGAAAGTAGCGTAGGATTTTTTTGATATTTTTATATTTCGATTTTATATTAGTATTTTAATGAATATTTTTTTACTGAAAAACGTAACTTTTTTTTAAGTTGCCGCGATTTCGGTAATTTTGCGAATATCAAAAAACCGCTATGATACTTTTTAGATAATATCTTTATGTTTCAGAAAATCTGAACAAAATTTTTTTTCTATGTTTCAGGACTTCTAAATCCATGAGGCCAGTGAGGTGCTACTTTTTGATGACCAGCCACCCACGCAGCTGCCACCAACTTATTTTTTATTATTTTGTAAAAGAAATTTTTTTAAAATAGACTTAAATTGTAGCTAAATAGCATAAGCAAAATAAGGAGTCTCTGCATTGTCTCTATTACTTAAAAAAACGCAAGAAAAATTTTAATATTTTACCGTCACAGGGTGGGGTCCCACCTTAAGAAACAAATAACACTCAATAGTTTGCCGTTTTGATTGACTTTATCTTTTGATAATTTTATCTTTATTGGCATGGAAAACTTTAACGGTATTTTTTTAGACTGATAGATATAACAGGCTCTTTCACTTTCAATTCATAAAATGTTTGTTTTTTCTTGAATGATATGTTCTGCAGTTATTACGTATCTACAATGTTAAGATAAAAAAAATAATAACATAGAAAGGAACAATAATCAACAGCCGAAATCACATAGCTCTAGAACAGTATTTATTTTCTACACAGTTTCTAACATAACGGAGCAGCTTTTAAGTTAAGACAGCATACCAAAGTACAATGTAGATTAGTACAGTAAAAACACAGAATCAGTCACAATGCAAGAACTGATCAGTTAAAACAAATTAAATTTACAGTACATGCATACTATAAAATAAATTTTTGCTTTTGCTTGTAATTAATGAATCCCAACAGTTTATAATAGGGGTATATTTACATAATAATGTTACACACAATAAATTGTAACAACTTTCAAACGCTGTTTAAGCCCCATGCTTTTAAATACACTCAATTAAAATAATGCGACTGCTCATGTTATAGCTCCTTTTAAGTATAATTTAAGGAAATTATGCGCTGTTACAAATAATGCCTCCACTGAAATTGAAAAATGGTATTGAAAGTTGTGATTAGTATAAATGATCTGAAATATATTTACCCATAATTTGTTCATTCATTTTACATGCAGTACATAATTAATTTAAAACATACGAGGAACCCAGAGCCTTAGGCTCTTAAAACTTTCATATATTTTCAATTATTTATCTGTATATATTAATATATTTTTGCTCGTACTTAAACATCTAATTTTAATTAAGCTGTGCTGCACTTTTTCCAAGAATAAAAAAAAAACTGTAATATTGTTTCCAGATAGGGGGTTTACATGTTTATGAAATTTTTAATAAATAACAGCGCAATATTCGTATACAACACATTTTCTAAACGGAAATAATGATTTTTCTCACTAAACGTGTTCGTCGTAATACGTTCAAAGTGCGACTTATAATTATGCTGCCTAAAGTTCTTCATACGCAAAAATTACAAATTGATCTCAGCCTGTCACTAATCACGATGTTTGGATGTATCGTATTTCTTTTCAAGCAACAATCAGCATGTAACGAGAGTCTACTTTTTATTGTTCACAATATTCATGTATTGTATGATCTAAAACAATATTTGCAATTCAAAAATGCAATGTTTGCATCCCAATATGCAATAATAACACAGTGGTTTTTGATTCAATTAGAAAAGTCATAGTCAAAAAGTAGGGGTTGAGTATTATTTTGAGTTTTGCAGTAGCAGTACAGCTTTAATGACTGACTATCAATACACCAAGACTGTAATCCATATTTGTTTATCCTACTTACACCGATGACTTTTGCTACCCTTCTGCCATCGTCATATCGAGCACTGCCTTCAATAATTGCACCTCCTGGTTTCGTTCTTAATGTTATTAGATAATCACTGATGATAGGTGGAGCATCACCGAGCACGATACTTTGATTCCGTGCTGCGTTTTCGTCTCTCTCAAATTTCAGTGCCAAATCATTACTTTGTCCCATTTGTGCGTCTGTTATTTCCTCTAACTCCAGCGTCTCGCATACATCAGCATGAGAAAGCAGAAGTTTATTTATATAACTGACCATTGCTTCTGAAACACTGATAATGAATGAACTATTCACTGCTACTGGTTTAAAATTGTTGCATGGACACCAATGCTGCTTTATATTGGCATCCGCACATGTTCTGTTTTCTGGAATTTCACGAAAAAGACTCAAGCCTAATTCATCTGTTTTCTCTGGAAACGTCATATTCAAGTGCAGTAAATGTTTTAGAGTAGCGTGAATGTCAAACAAAGTGATAAGTCGATCTTGGTTGATGGCAAGGTTTTTCTTGAGTTCTGGGTTTTCCTGGAGATACCATTTCGGTAGGTGTATATACATAAATGGCATTCTTTCCTCCAACTTACCTATGTAGGTATTTCTGATATCACCATAACGCAAGCCGTGATCACTGAACATAATTAAAGCAGTGTTGTTCAAGGCTCCAGCATCTTGCAATGCTTCGAGTAATCTTAATGCAGGTACATCAACGTAACTCGCAGCATTGAAGAAGTCATGTGTGAGAACGGATACCATGGTGAAAGCAAAATAGGGTCTTTTGTCCATGGTTTTTACGAAGTTTTTCACATAGTCAAACATAAGTTCAGTCTCTAGTTGGTGATCAAGACATGGGGACTTGTTAAGCCTGTGATTTGTTCTCAACTCAGATTGTGCTATTGCGAGTGCCAGTGGCCTATAATAATAATCAGTGGGTTGTTCAATGAAACCCCTTTTTATATAGTTGAATGTACCAGCATATGGTGCATCTTCAGCGAAAAATGTTCGGTAGCCGTCTCGGGCATAATCCTTCCAAATAAAACTGACATTATCAAAAGCAAATGTATCTCTAATAGATTCATTCCAAATATGTTCTGCAAAGTAACCGGTTAGCATTGGCACCAGGTTTGGGAAGGTGTTGTCTCCTACTTTTGCGTATCCCTTCATGTCGTAAACATTCATGTTTGCTTTCATGAAAGCTTTAGTTCGTCTGAAATGCCTCAGAAAGTTCAGTTTTGATATTGAGTCAATGCCTAAAAGAAGCACACTCAATGGTTTTGCATGTTTTGCTTTCATTCTTTTTTCTTCTACTTCTTTCTTAATTCTTGGTAGAGGAAAATATTGCTCATGGGTATAATTGCTGAAGAAGCATTTTACTACCGCATGATCGTATTCAATTGGTGTTTCAAATTCTAACTTAAACACTTTAGATGTTGCGAAAGCGTGCTCCCTGAAAATGTCCGGTTCTTCATATTTGCGTGATATACCCTGATACCAACATTTCATGTCATTTGGAGTGGCATTATAGTACTTCTCCAATATGGAAATATTGAGATGAATAATACCGTTTGGTTCAGGGGTCAAGAAAGATGGGTGATCTGAACAAACATAGGGAGGATGAAGCTCTATAAGATGCAATATAGATGGATCCCAACGATCCATTTTTGGAATTTTACATCCTGGTGTATCTATGATTAAAGCAAGATTTTTAGCTGGGCTAGTGACAGGTTGGACTGTATTTTGCGCTTTTGAACTTTTGTCTTTATATTTAGTTTCAGATATGGAATCAGTATAATTATGGTTAATGATATTTAACCGCGATAAAGTAGAAGTATTTTGCTTAGCTCTCTTAGTTTCAAGATCAGCTAAATTGTCTGGATGTAATTGGAATATTTGGTCTTTTGACAGATCTGGTGACTTCGCAGTCTCCTTGTTACTGATATTTAGCTGTGGTAATATAGAAATGTGTTGTTTATCTGCAGTATTTTCTAGTTCGAATAAATTACTACGATATAATTGAGATATTGGATGTTTTGACAGCTCTAGAGACTGTGGAGCAGTGTTTTTGTTATTGATATTCAGCTGTGGTAATATGGAAATGTATGGCTTGGTTATTTTAGTTTCTAGTTCAGCTAATTTACCACGAGAAGATTGAGGCATTTGAGCTTTTGGCTGCTTATTCGTTGTAGTAGATACGATATGACTAGCAAAATCAGTTTCCAACCGTGTTAAAAGTTTTGAAGATATATTTTTTTCTTTTAATGTACTTTTTATTTTTGATGACTTCGAAGCTTCAAAAGATCCTATTTCGCTGGGGCGAGACACTAGATATTTTGATGGTGAGAATAGGGATAGTTTCGCCGGTTCGATCTCATATAATCCATAATCATCTTGACTGGAATCGTCTTCACCATGAACTGCTCCCCAATATCTTTTATAATCAATGTCAGGATCAATAATTGACTTATGGGGTAATTTCATAACAAAGCTATTTTCTCTCATTTGAAGTATTTTAAGTAGAAGGCTATTAGGCAAGTGATTTTTTCCATTGGAAACTCGATTTGATTGTTTTATTTTAGATTCATTTGTATTCTTTTTATAAAACAAATGATTATTATAGTGATTTGGAGGAAACACTTTCATTGAACCAAAATAATTATTAGGCTGTTCCACAATCTTCTTGGAGACATTAATTGCCGTATCGTAGTTAGTGTGTTTAATAATACTATTTGCTGTATTTTCTTCTAAAATATTATCAACGAGAGGATTTTCTGAATGTTTTGGTGATTCATCTATAGATCTTGGTATTATATTTAAGATATAAAGAGTTAGTAAAAAGTAAGTAACTATGCAAAAAATTAATAAACATGTGAAGCGACTTCTAATTGAAGAAGATGCCATTAGAGATGTGATTCTTTACTTAAAATCATGCATACTGGAATCTGAAAATAAAAAATATATAAAGATTAATAATACTTAGATTAAATAATTTTCAGAGAGAAACATTTTATGAAATCTGCGTTTGTGCAAATAAATAATCGTATCATCACTTCAATCAATTATATGAGCTGTAATACATACGTGCTAATTATGTCTTACATGAAGTTTCCATTCCCCACATTTCAAATAAAAAACTCAAATATGTGAATGTTATAGGTCGATGTAACGAATTCTCAAATGCTAATGTTGGTACTAATTAAGCAAATAGTTTGCTCTTAGATATGAGTAAAGGTAGTGCCCGTGCTGTTGCCATGGATTTGGCATTGGAATAAGCAACCATAAATACACTTCTTTTTCTGACAGGTAAAACAGTAGTCGTAAACACAAAATTGGGTGGACAGTTCAACGGTTATAAAATAAAATAAAAAGTGGCATTACTGCCTTATGGCTTTAATTCGGAGTTTTTGGTGCGCTCGCTGTCCTTCTCTGCTTGCTGGCTCAATTTGTGGTGCTACTCTCATTCGCTACTCGGGGATTTGTGCTTTGGTTCCGAGAGCTGCATCGTATTTGTGCTGTTGCTTGGGTGTCTGTCGTAAGACGAATCTATTTCAAGCGTCTGGGTCCCCTTCGTCCCGGAATAATTGATTGAAGTGCGGAATCAAGCGGCTTCCACACATTTTTTTATGGTAATGTTCACATTAAAGGTTTGCGTAACATTAAAACTTAAAAGTTTGATTCGCTCATTTCATTTCTCGTTATCTCCTCTTATTTTTAAGTTTGTTTACGCTATGCAGTGCTTTTTGTTGTCGGATTCTTTTATTTCTGCTATTTTTATAAAACGTCACCAAGTGTTCGATTGATTTGCAAACTAATCCTCCTATCTTCATCTTTTTTATAAGATTATAGATGTGCGTACACTGTTAAAAAATTTAGAGTGTTTTGAACCAGAATATATTTAATTTTTTCTACACCCTCAATATAGTTAAACCATATTAGCTTTTTTTTCAATGTTTTATTTTTATTCATTTACATGAGATTCTTGTTCAGCTTGAATAGGAACATGACTTAGTTTGCATTCTTATTAAAAATGCAACAGATTTGCACCATTTCAGGATTCAATGTACACCGTACATTGTACATTGTACAATGTACACCGAAGAGCCATTACATTATGACCACCCTCCATCTATAACAATGGGCTCACCCAGGTTTTCATGGTTTCTCGCCCAGGAACATATTTTCATGGGGTACATTAGGACCCATAATCCTCATAGAACAATCCCTGACGTCTGTAAGCTACTTGAACATAGTTGCAGACCAGGTTCACCCATTCATGGCAACAGTTTTTCCTGCGGGGGATGGTGTTTACCAACAGGATAATGCACCACGTCATAAGGGTCGAATCGTCATGGATTGGTTCGAGGAACATTCCAGTGACTTTCAAGTCATGTCTTGGCCCCCAAATTCACCTGACCTTAATCCAATAGAGCATTTGTGGTCCTACTTGGAAAACCAAATTCGTGCTGCCACGCTACCCCCTCGCAATGTGAGGGAATAGCAGGACCAGTTGGTTAGCGCTTGGTACTAGATACCCCAGACTACCTATCAGCACCTTGTGGAATCAATGCCACGGCGGGTGCTAGCAGTCTTGAGAGCTAAAGGTGGTCCTACATGTAATTAGCAGGGTGGTCATAATGTAATGGCTCTTCGGTGTATAATGTTTAATACTGATCCTAGTTTTATGAGATTATTTATATAGCGTAAATAGTTTTTATGGTGACTGTTATTTATTTCAAAAGTAATATCGGTTTCCAAAATAAGATTTGTATTTTATTTGTATCTGATTTCGATGTATTAAAATATTTTTAAATGAAATAAATAAGAACAATATCACGAAGAGAAACATAAGTTAAACTTTTTCTGCAGTAGAGATTTAGAAAGGAAGGAAAAAAAAACTAAAATGAGAACATTCTTTTATCTATGTAAAAACAGGAAGAAAAACTGTTGTTTCTTTCATGGTTTATGTGATTTAATTGTTTTTTTGTTAACCTAAAATATTCTTTTGAATTTTTTTAAAAGCTTTTTTTTGCCATAAACTGAGAGTAAAATGCATCATTATGAGAAATAATTTATAAATTTTATTACTCAAGTAACCACTAAAAATATTACGTCTCTCCTTTTTAAAACCATTACTAGCTTATTCTTAAATAATCATTAAAATTTCGCATAAAAATGATAGCGCATATTCAGTGACAAGGTTAAACAACCTAATATTTGTCAAATCATTTGTTTCGAGGTTAAAAAGAATTGCTTTCATGGCAAGAATAATTTTATTTCAAGATTAGTATTCTTAAACTTTGTCATGATTTTTAATTTTAATACATAATATTATGCATATTAATGCGTAAATAACGCTTAGTTGTTAGTTAAAGATGACAGTAGTATGCCATATTATCAGACTCCTTCCGGAAAATGAAGAATTACTAGTCACATTTATTTGCAAAGAGATTTTAACAGGGCCAAAAAAAGAAAATAGTTCGTTTAATTATGCACTATGGAATCATGACGTATTAAATAAAGCGGACATACTTTATTTAAACCATTTTAGCACGGTGATTAATATAAAATATTAAATGATTCTGTGTAATGACCCTCTTTTAGAAAATGAACTCTTCCAAAAAAAAAAAACTAATTTTTTTGAGCATCACTTTTTAGCATCATTTTTTACGGGTACCTTAGCAACAGACCAGTTTACTTTAGTCTGGTTCACGGGTGGAGTCAAAATAGGTCATCAGATGTTCTCAAATCGTGAGAACAGCTCTCGAATTTCATTGATTGTCCCCTGAAACTTTCAAACTATTTGAGAACAGAAAATGTTCCCAAATTTTAAAATGAGTCTTCAAATGAACTCGGATTTCCTCGAAAACATATTACAGAATTTTTTACAGGCTGCGAAATATTAAAAAAAAAAAAAAAAAAGAAGAAAGAGACAGAAAGAGGAAAAAAGAGAACAGTTTCATCTTACAGCGAAAAAAAACGCCTTTTCTAAAAATACAAAATAATTTATTTTATTTTTACTTCTTATTTTTTAAAAAGATTAAGAGGTTCAGACAGTTAAAGTTTATAAGAATCGAGCTTACTGACCTAGAGGTTGGGGGCTTGATCCAACGCTCTGAGTTGGGAATATTTATTTTATTTCTTTTAATGCATATTTTAGGCTTATAATTCAAGTATTAAACGCTTATTTTATATTTATTTATTTCCTTTTAGTTTTTTTCTTCGCAAATTTATTTAGTTATGTATTGAAAAAAAACAAACAAACAAAAAAACAGTTAATTGCTTCTTTTTTCCTGTAAACAAAATTTTAATGACAAGGGATTAAATAAGTAAGTTTTATGTACGATACTCTTTAAAGGAAAAACAAGAAGCTTTTGCGTTTCATAATTGTCACTAGATGGCAGCATCGATATTAAGGTGACTCTTTCGTTTCAATCTAACATACGTTTGTAAGCCCATGCTTCTTCCCTTTACCCTCTCTGGTAACCCTGCACTGTTTAGCCTTTTGAGGCCGTATTTAGTTTATGCATGGGTGTCATGCTGGCCAGAATAAATTTACTTAAACACAATTTATAAAATATTATTTCGAACTCTACGCATCTCCGAAGCTTGTCGACTTAATATAGTATAAGATCAGTATGGCTCTTTGCTTTGGTGGCAGAGAGCAGACATACGGCTGGAACGGTAAAAAAACGTTGGTGGCGGAGAGTCGGTGCATAATCAACAATAAGCAATGAAATAAAAACAATTCACACCTGAATTATAGGCAAGTCAGAAAATCTCAAGTAAAAAAAATTCCTTATTTATGCAACACTCAGTCAAAATTCGCTATCCACTTAATTTAGTGTTGTCACATTGTAAAACTATGGGTGTTTAAAATGTTTTCAGAACAATGTCTCTCACTACAACACTGTAATTTAATGGAAAGATACAGAGATTGTCATCTTTTAGTGATTTCTAATACTATTACGGATATGAGTTTAATTGGCATATAACTGTATTATTTAATATATAAATAATAGGGGACATGGGCATTTTGCATGATTTGATTTGATTGCATTGAATTGATTTGGTTAAAATAAGACTTCTTGCTTCCTGCCATCTGGTTTATGTGATGTGTCCATGGTTATTACTTCGTGCAATGTCAACATCTTTCTGAATTATTATAACACGCAAAGTTGATATTTTTATATTAGTTTCAGACCATTGTTATTTCAGTTGTTATTTTTTTAATAATGGTTTTTGTAGATTGTTAGGTTTTGGTCTTTATGTTCATTTTAAATTTAAATCTTCAACTTATTAATTGTCGTTTAACAATACTGCACTGTCACGCATTCTTGATCTAATTACGGTATAAAGTACCGGTACTTAGGGTTCATCATCCGTAAAATTCATTCTACAGTAAAATATTACACTGTAATTTTCTCAATTATGTTTATTTAATTAGATGATTCAGTTATTTTACTGTAACTATTACTGTAAAAATTACTATATATTAGATATTTTGTTCCATAACATATAACCGGTAAAAATGGATTTTGCGTTTAAAAGTACCGGCACCCTGAGTGCAGTACACTGTTAAAAATTTCTCGGAAAAAATGGTTAAGTAACAATTTATTGAATGGTTATTTTACCATATTTATTCAAAACAGTCAAATAGCCATAAATAAAATGGTGATCAAACTGTTAAGTTTGAGAAAACTGTTTATTAACAGCTTTCACCTTATGCAGTTAAACGACCAGAATTTTATCGCACCAACTAGATCCACCTAATGAAGCTACTTAGTTCTTTGCAACTGCGTACATATCATAGCCGAGCGGGCTTACCTGTCAATCTCATGACTTACAGAACTAGAGTTCGAGTCCTAGTGTTGACACCACAATATTTCCTCAATTCCCTTCTACACACGAAAAATTTCCAGTGTTCGGCACTCTCCAATCCCCATTACTTTACTAAAAAACGACGCGCCTATGTCTAGTTAAATAATTAATTTTTCCTTTTAACGTTTTGGAATAATGCTAGTTGTAAATGGTTAAAAAACCATAAAGAAAAAAAATGTTCTTTACCGTAAAATTTACGGTTAATCGGATGGACAGACAGCTGCCAGTTATTTTACCATAATTTTAGAATAAAAATTTTAAAAGTGTACTTCTTACCTAAATTTGATCAAGATTTTTTTGTAATCTACGAGGACTGAAATGAAATAAATTTATACGAAAATTGAATTAAAATAAAAATTATTTATTGTAATATCTTATAAGATAATTTAAATAAAAAACAACATAAACATCATTGTGATAATCAAAATGATTTTAAAGGTATTTAGATATTAACCATTGAAATTTATTACAGAATTTTCATCTAGTTAACTTTGATTGCAAGACAAACGTATTATTCAGTTTGCAATAATCGTAATATCTTTGCTGCAGTAGAGATATTAAAGTTACGGACCTTACTGGCAAAAATTCTTAAAAACAAATTTACATGTTGAACTAGCTATCCATGTTATATTGAATTAAACTTTTTATCCTATTGAAATATCAGAAACTATTTAAACACATTTAAATATTAAAATTATATAAATACTCGGATCATTAAAATGAAATAAAAAATACTCGTATCAGCATTAAGTGTAACTTACGGTTATAACCATATTCAGACAAAATCGAAGACATCATACCAAAAATGAAAGCTTTCGTTTTTGTTAGCAATATCAAAACACATTTTTATTGGTGTCATAACATTGTTAGAAAATTAATAGTGCACAAAGCGATTTTCCGGTCTCACAGGAAAATAACATCTGTATAAATATTTAGTACCTGATTTTATATCTTATTTTTCTAGTCAGTAATTAATATTATCCATTAAAAGTACAACGATAAATTATATTAAATTTATTACAGCATTAACTAAAAATGCATATTTTTTATAGTTAGTATTGAGCAAATTAATTAGTAAATAATAGTAAATATGTTGAATACCTCCATGTGAAAAATGACATTTTTATTTACACATATTCGTATTTTTTTTATTTCAGCNCTCGATCTAATTACGGTATAAAGTACCGGTACTTAGGGTTCATCATCCGTAAAATTCATTCTGCAGTAAAATATTACACTGTAATTTTCTCAATTATGTTTATTTAATTAGATGGTTCAGTTATTTTACGGTAACTATTACTGTAAAAATTACTATATATCAGATATTTTGTTCCGTAACATATAACCGGTAAAAATGGATTTCACGTTTAAAAGTACCGGCACCCTGAGTGCAGTATACTGTTAAAAATTTCTCGGAAAAAAATGGTTAAATAACAATTTATTGAATGGTTATTTTACCATATTTATTCAAAACAGTCAAATAACTATAAATAAAATGGTAATCAAACTGTTAAGTTTGAGAAAACTGTTTATTAACAGCTTTCACCTTATGCAGTTAAACAACCAGAATTTTATCGCACCAACTAGAACTACCTAATGAAGCTACTTAGTTCTTTGCAACTGCTTACACATAGCCGAGCGGGCTTACCTGTCAATCTCATGACTGACAGAACTGGAGTTCGAGTCCTAGTGTTGACACCACAATATTTCCTCTATTCTCTTCAGCACATGAAGAATTTCCAGTGTTCGGCACTCTCCAGTGCCCATTACCTTACGAAAAGCCACGCTCCTGTGTCTAGTTAAATAATTAATTTTTCCTCTTTACGTTTTTGAAAAATGCTAGTTGCTAATGGTTAAAAAACCATAAAGGAAAAAAAAATCTTCTTTACCGTAAAAATTACGGTTAATCGGATGGACAGACAGCTGCCAGTTATTTTACCATAATTTTAGAATAAAAATTTTAACAGTGTACTTCTTACCTCAATTTGATCAAGATTTTTTTTATAATCTACGAGGATTGTAATGAAATAAATTTATGCAATAATTGAATTAAAATAAAAATTATTTATTGTAATTTGCGGAAAATTGTAATATCTTATAAGATAGTTTAAATAAAAAACAACATAAACATCATTGTGATAATCAAAATGATTTTAAAGGTATTTAGATATTAACCATTGAAATTTATTACAGAATTTTCATCTAGTTAACTTTGATTGCAAGACAAACGTATTATTCAGTTTGCAATAATCGTAATATCTTTGCTGCAGTAGAGATATTAAAGTTACGGACCTTACTGGCAAAAATTCTTAAAAACAAATTTACATGTTGAACTAGCTATCCATGTTATATTGAATTAAACTTTTTATCCTATTGAAATATCAGAAACTATTTAAACACATTTAAATATTAAAATTATATAAATACTTGGATCATTAAAGTGAAATAAAAAATACTCGTATCAACATTAAGTGTTACTTACGGTTATAACCATATTCAGAGAAAATCGAAGACATCATACCAAAAATGAAAGCTTTCGTTTTTGTTAGCAATATCAAAACACATTTTTATTGGTGTCATAACATTGTTAGAAAATTAATAGTGCACAAAGCGATTTTCCGGTCTCACAGGAAAATAACATCTGTATAAATATTTAGTACCTGATTTTATATCTTATTTTTCTAGTCAGTAATTAATATTATCCATTAAAAGTACAACGATAAATTATATTAAATTTATTACAGCAGTAACTAAAAATGCATATTTTTTATAGTTAGTATTGAGCAAATTAATTAGTAAATAATAGTAAATATGTTGAATACCTCCATGTGAAAAATGACATTTTTATTTACACATATTCGTATTTTTTTTATTTCAGCATTTTATTTCTACTTATTCGTACAAATTGAACATATAACTAAAAACATATGGAGTGTTCTTACATTACTTTTTGTAATAATTTTTGTACTCCTAGTGAAAAATGAAATGCTTCAGGTCTCACAAGTGCATTAAATTTCTATGCAATGGAGAAAATAACAAAAACACTACTGCATACTTGTGAATCAGTATTGAAGTATTAAGAAACTGATCAGTATTTGGCAAAATTTAAATTCTCAAAAAGAAGAAAAAAACTGTGAGGAGGTGAAAGGGGCGATTACTACAAATACATTCATGTTTCATCCTGTAACCAAACTACTTTTTTCCCCCCCCTTATTATTATTATTATTTTTTTTTGCTTTTGTCACCGTCCTAAATAAAGGGGATCAGGCAGTTTTTTTATAAATATTTTACTTTTTATTAGTTTGCAAATACTTAACATGTATGATTTTAATTTCATTTTTGCTAAGGGTTTAAAAAATATAGATTAAGTTATAGGGATTAGGGAACATCTTAGGTCAATAGATTTAACACTATGATACAAATGGCTAGCATATGAACCTTTTTTAAAGTTTAAGTAAGCTTTTTTTTGAACCAACTTTTCTTATACTCGCGAGCTTAATAGGTTAGCTTTGTCAATTTTAATCCAATTTATTTAACATTTTAACAATTTATGCACTAAAAATTACACCAGCTACAAATTTTTATAATATTTAATGAAAACTGTTTTATTTGTGCCTACTACTAGTGTTAGAATTAATTTAGGGATAGTTAGATACATTGACATTTAATTTCACATAATTTATTTTATTAATAGTATTTAGAAATTTATGAATATGTAGAGCAATGTATTAATAAATACTTATATTTTTATCAATTATGATTTCCTCATGCTTATCTTAGAAAAATATTTTTTTTTTGACAATCGAGAGTTGATGTTAAATTAATCCTAATTGAGGAAAATAAAAGTGAAATATTCTATCTATTACTGATATAATTGTATAAATATTAGATGTTACTTGCATTATTTAAAATTTAATAAACTTTATTTTCCTTTAGTATTCTATTAATATTATTTTAAAATGTGATAAATGTTGATTTTTTTTCATTAAGAAATAGTTACAAAAGAATAAGTTTGTTTCACATTAGGATAATAAAAATTGAATTTCAATTCTCCAATTTTCATCACTTTACTGCTTTAATTAATTATTATTAAATTTCTATTGCTTTAAGAAGCTTACTACACTAAGTATAGTTTAAAAATGTTATAAATTATTACGGATTTGGTGGTTGAAATTATCTTTAAAAGTAGCCTGACACCGTATTGGAATTTTTTAAAAATTATAAGAATGTTTTTTTAAAAAATTTAAACTAATTATTTCACAGAGCAATTATGAAGTATGTACATAAAAAACATATTAAATAAGACCGAATAAAACTTTCATGTAGATGCAAAACTTTCATGTCATGAAAATACTAAGTACTTTTTCTAGAAACTATAAAAATTGAAATTTATTTAAATATTAATTGGATTCCTGCAAGTGACGTCATCGTTGGTAAATCTAGGCATTTGTGGATTCAAAAGCCAATCACAGGTTCGACGCACACGCTTGACGTCGCTTACAGGTATTTAATTAAATCTGATTTAAACAATCACTTCACTTCTTCTAGAGTTGAAAGTACCCAAATAATAAAAAAAGAAATCGTCTGGTCATTTAAAGGAATAAAAATCATGAAATATTTCCCCCTGTTTGTTAATCTCCATTTCTTGTAGAATTACACGTTTTTAATCGGTTGGTACAGCAACGCAAAATAAAATGACTTATATACGATGTTATTTTAAGTAAATGAAAGAAAAAAAAATGAAATTGCACTTCTTTGGCTGGAAGAACTCTTCACTAAACACTGTTTTTTTCTTATCTCTGTATTGTGGATCACTTACTTTAAATTAAAAATTTTTTAATGCTATGTTATTATTATATTTATAACATTTAGTATTTTTATATTTCATTTAAAATGTACTATTTCACATAATATCTGAAGATTTTGTTCGATTTTCTTCAAGGCGCCTTGTGAGATAAATTTTCATAAATATTTGTAAGATGAAAAAACATTTACCCGTGTATAACTAACTGGAAATTGTTTTCTTCTTTCTTTCCTTTGCAAAATCATTTTATCTCAAAATTATTTTAACTGTGCTCAGCTCATGTCAAAACATACATGCTATTTAGCATATAGTTTTAATAAACAATATAAATTTTCAATTTTTTTTATCTTTTCAGAAAATGTATATTTTGACATATATTTTTCAAAAAAAAGTCATGAAACATTTAATTCTTCTTAAAATTTTAAATAAATTCATGTCTCATCTTTTGAAGTCCCAGGAAGTTAAGGCTTAAAAATACATTTATAAACGTTATTTTTTTATTTACTTTCTGGACATTTTCTGGAAAAATATCTTCGGCAGCTAAATTATAAAGGTAATTAGCTAATTTCTGTTTTTGTTTTTAAGTTGCTAAATGACCACGCATTTTAAAGAAAAACATTGTTCTATCATATTAAGTTATTATTTAAAAATTGGAATTTTTATATTTTATTGCTCACTTAATAAGAAAAAAGAAATTTATAAATATTACTTTTCATGCATTTATATTTTGTATTTCGATTGTCTATAATATTATTTTAAGATTATATCTATATTGATTAAATATTATTACCAAAAAGAGTAAATATATTTATTTTAGATTATCTATACCTATTTACTTTGAAATAAAAAGTTTATGTTATTTGTCAAGCATCTTTAGAATAAGAGTCTTATATAATTAATATATTTCAAGCATGAGAAATATTTTCTAGAATAGCGTGTGTTTTTTTTAAATAATAAGAAAAACTATATTTTTATAAGTAACATTCCGGTTTTATGATGATATTTTTTTTACAACCTCATTATTTATTATTTTTTTTGCTTCGTCTCCTTGTAATTTCTTTTTATCTTCGCTAAATAAATTGCATGCAAAAAAGACTTTAAGAATGGTCATTGCTTACAATATTAAAAAACTGTACACGCGAATTGAAAAATATTTTTATTGTGAAATTATTAAGTATTCTATATTATAATACAAAGCAAATTATAAAACATATGTTATAAACAAAAAATATTTGTTTAAAGATAATATGGGACAAAAATAATATTGGATTAATGTAAAACCACGAGAAACACATTAAATAATAAAGTTCAAAAGACTTTATGTAATTTAGAAATTTTATCTGTTTGATTTGATATTTTTTTGCTAAATTATACATTATTTGGACAACTTGTTGATATTTTTATTAAACTTCTATAAAAAAACGTATGTATTATTTCAATGCCTGCATCTCTCAAAAAGGGAAGAGTTTGCTTATACTTATACAGCATGTACGTCTTATACTCATACAACGTTACAACACAATAAAGAATGACATAGGAACCTTAGTAAACCTTTCTTACCTTGATTATTCTACAGTCAGTGAGGAAAAAGTATGGTCTCAACTATCAAAATATGTTATAATTTGCCATATCTACTCTATGGGATCACTAAAAAGCTCTGAATTTTTTACTGAATTGTTTTCGTAAAATTAACAAGTTTTGGTAAAGTTAACAATTAAAAATGTTTTTTTTAATATATGATAAAAATTTGGTAATTTTATAACGATACCTCAGACCATGGCGCAAATTCATTTTTAAGTTTTGTATTTTTTTACTTAATATGCTGCAATATTTTCCGGTTAGTTTTCCGGTAATATTTTCCGGTTAGTTTTCCGGTAATATTTTCTAGGATTTCCGGTTAGTCGTTGTTGGATGACCTGAAAAATTACCAAATGAATGGTTTAAATATTGTATATTTTGATTTTTATTACCAGAGTTATGATTTTTTAGTTAATTAAAAGTTAGTTAATTATGACCATTTTATTTCTTACAAACAATAATTCACAATAATTGTTCCATGTATGATAAATAATTGGCTAAAAAATGACTGGACATTTTCAATAATTTTGATTAATAAAATTATGTTAAATATGTATCCTTTCAAATTTTGCTGAGTAAATGTTTATTTTTAATTAATGAGATTTCCTTACATATTTTTAATGTAAATATGTAAATAATGCAGATTTGTCACTTTGTCTGAGCTTATAGTGCCAGCCACGTTCTATGTCAGTCAGTCTATGTCAGTCTATTTTAATTAATTTATCTCAAAATAATTTTGAATGCAATGCACACAAACTTTTCGAGATTGGTTGAAATAGTTAAATTGCAACACAGATTCCTTATCATTTTATCCAGTTTCAGTTTTTTTCTTCCAATTATTATTATTTTATATATCATAAAGAAGAGATGGAGCAAACATGTTTTTGTATCTGAAATTTTATCAGAACATTTAAAAATAGTGTACTGGAATAAAAAAAAATCACAAGCATTGAATTCATTTTTAAGTGATTATACTTTAATTTTATCCACTGTTAAATGTTTTAGAGCCCGTTAAACTATAATATTGATCTAATATTCAGCAACATTGAATTATGTGGAAATATTTATTTTACGCCCACTGCTACCTTAGGAGGACGTCATACCATGGGAGAAATTTTTCGTCGGGAATTCTGAAAAGAAAATGCTGAAAGGAAAAATGTAAAATATCCGAGGGAAAATAATTTGTGAGAAGATAACTTAGGATTACGCAATGGAGAAGTTCTTTTCCAATAAGTTGTTAGCATTTTTAAATTTTGAAATTTTTCTTCGGCAAATAAAAATTTATGGCCTTCTCTAGGCTTGCCTAAACTTACTTTTTCTATACTTTAAATTTCAATTCAGTGAGGAAGGTGAAAGAATATTTTCTACTAAGTGTTTCTCCCGTTGTATAGATTCCTCTGAAGTAATGAATGCACTACTTTCACTCAATCTGTACTTTGCAAAAACAGTACAGCTTTAGTTTCGCACTATCTATGCACCAGGACTGGGTACCGTACATGTTTATTCTGCTGACATCCAACACTCTTAGTACCGCATTTTCTGCATCATATCGAACAGTTCCTTCCAAAATTGCACCCCCCGGTTTGACTTCCAGTGTTATGAGATAATCACCCAATGTCGGTGGTGCATCGCCCAAAACTATGTGCATGTTTATAATTTCATTGACATGGCCTTGATATTTGAGTACGTGTTCGTTCGGTAATCCTTGTCGAGCATCCATAACTTTGGCAAGCTCCAGAGTTTCACATACATCGGCATGGGGTTGCAAAAGCATGTTTATGTGTTTGACTATGGCTTGGGAAGCATTTATAACACCCGGGTTATTTACTTCCAACTGTTCGAATTCATTGCAAGGACACCAATGATGCAGAATAGCAGCATCATCACAAGTGCGGCTCTCTGGAATTTCATTAAGAAGGCTAAGTCCATATTCATCAAAGTCTGCTACATATTCGTTTTTAGGGTTGAGCAAATGCTTCAGTGTAGCATGAATGTCGAAGAGGGTCATTAAACGTTCTTGGTTTACGATCATATTTCTGTTTATGTCAGAATTTTGGGCTAGAAACCATTTTGGAAAGTGTATATACATAAATGGCATCCTTTCTTCAAACTTCCCAATGTAAGTTTCCCTTATTTTACCATACCGTATGCCGTGGTCACTGAATATGACTAAAACACTATTATTCAGAGCTCCAGTTTCATCAAGGCCTTTTAGTAATCTAGCCGCAGGGGCGTCAGCATAGCTTGCATAATCCGCAACGTCATGCGTTAGGATAGAGACCATGCAGAAAGCAAAGTATGGTCTGCCACCCATGGTCTTAACGAAATTTATTAAATAGTCGTACATAAGATCAGTTTCAAGTTGAGAATTTATGCAAGTTGAGTTGTACTGTTTTGCAGCGTGCCTAACTTCGGATTGTTCGATCATTAACGCTGTAGGTCTATAGTAGTAATCAGTAGGCTCTCTAAAAAACCCTCTCTTGAAATAGTTGAATATGCCATTAAATGGTGCATCATCTGCAAAAAACGTTCTATAACCCTGCTTAGCATAATCTTTCCAGATCAAGCTTATATTATCGAAAAAGAATGTATCTCTGACTGTTTCGTTCCAATAATATTCAACGAAATGCCCGGTTAACATAGGTACTATGTTTAAAAAAGTATTATCAGCCACCTTCGTGTAACCTTTCATGTCAAAAGCCTTCATATTTTCTTCCAAAAAGGCTTTAGTTTGTCGAAAATGTCTCAAAAAATTCAACTTTGACACAGAGTCTATGCCTAGAAGAATAACGTTTAATGGAGCTGTAGGTTTGATTCCAGATTTTTTATTTTCCACTTCATCTTTTAATCTAACAAGAGGAAAATACTGCTGATATGTAAAGTTATTTTTGAAGTAACATTTCACTGCAATATGGTCTTCATCAAGAGCGAAATAAAAATATAGCCGCTTTGAATCAGTCAAAATGATTGTATCTTCTCTAATTTGATCTGGCTCGTATTGGCGCACCACCGGCCAGTACCAACAATTTGCATCCTCAAAAGTATAATTGTAATGTTTTTCTAATACTGATAAATTCAAATAAATACTCCCATACGGTTCTGCAGTCATGAATAAAGGAGGACCCGGACATATAAAAGGATCGTACAGATGGATTATATTACGTACTGTTGAATCCCATGGGTCGAATTTAGGAATCCTGCATGTTGATGTATCAATTATAAAAGCAGGATTTTTGGTTGGTTTTACAGCTAATTTCATAGTTAATTTTGTGTCTTCATATGGATAATCATTCCAACTGACCGATTTTATCTGATTATTCATTGCTTCTTTTGAAAATATTTTACGCCAAGATGGTAAATCAGATTGGATTTTTGAGTCTTCTGCCGGAGAGTCTGCATTAATATTACCAAATATGTTGTTGGTGAAATCTCTATCCTCCAACGTATCCTTACCAGAAACTAATGGTATTTCCTTAGTGCTCATTTGATGTTCTTCTTCTTGATTGATGATGAATGTGTTGTATTCTGTTGCATCTGATTTATAGTTGACGTTAATGCGATGTTCTTTTGAGATATACCAGCTGATGATGAGGTAAGTGACGAAACAGAATATCATTAAATACGCAAAGTATTGACGTGTATCGAAAGCCATTTGAACGTTAGAATTTTACTTTCAGTCAAGTTGTTTCTGGACCTGCGAAGAGGAAAAATATTGCTTAATTTGATTTATGGTTAAAACAAAATCAGCGCCTAAATATGATTTATTGTTATTTTTTTTAATATTTATTAAAATAGAGAAACCTGATGAGTTTTCATTGATGAACATCTCTGTGATAATTGGCTGTTTTACTGAAAGTAAAAAGTAATTTCGTCTTTTTTATGCTATTTAACAGTAAAGTGACAAAAAAGGAAAGACACTACACAATTTGGGATAGAGAATAAATAATAAAAACGAAAGTTGGATACTATTTAGTGCGTCACATATTTTGGATTATGTAACAGTTATAAATAAATTCTAAAAGTAACGTGTTGCCTTTAAATGTCTGTTACAAGAAATAGTCAAAATCGGAGATTTTCTCTATGATTTATTATCTTAATTGTATTGTTTATTATCTTATTAACTTAATTGCATTTGCTGTTTTTGTTCAAACTGCCTTGAAAAGTTTTGAACAAAATAGATTAAATTACGATAATGCTTTTTAGCCAAATTTTTAATTATATTTTTAAGATTGCAAATGGTATTTGTGTAATAAGAAACATTTAGAAATGCAATTGGATATGTAATAAATATAACTGAATGAAAATCTTATAAGTATATCTGCTTCATTTCACCTGATAAAAAATATTACTTTTACTGCTACTATTACAAGAGATCCAACCAGGAAAAAAATAAGATCTGTTTCCTGAAACAGATATATGCACCATAATTTTTTTCTTTTATCTAAAGATTTGTTTTTTAAAAGTGTCCGTTTTTAAAATACTTTTGCAAGTAATGGACATGGTCACAAAAACTGGGCTGTTTGAATTCAGCGCTTAATTTTGTAGTAAAATTTCAAATAAAATTAAAAGCTATCGCATGTTTCTATTCCACAACATACTGACTGGTTTCCTAGAAAAGCTGCTTTTAAATCTTGCTCATGATTGGTTACATAGATTTTTTTTCGATGAAAATCCTGAAAGCTTTGTCAGAAAAATATAATTTTTTTTGTACAGAATTCGTTTGACTATTTAAAAATAATAGTTATTAATTACTTTAGTTTGTAGTTAGTTTAATAACTCACCAATTCAATTAATTAATTTAATTAATTCAATTAATAATTAATAATAAATTAATCCTATGTATTTTTTTTAAATTTATAATTAAATTTCTTTTTCTGACAAAGGTCTAGATAAGAGCCTAGACCTACGTTTGGTAAACCAAAATCACTCGAACCTGTACCATACTCGTACTGCGAGATGCAAAAAGCAAAATAAAAGAAGAAAAATGAAAAAAAAATATTATGAAGATAAAAACTTAACTATTGGGCTAATTAATGTTCAATTTTCTATATTATTGTTATAATATCTTTAAAATCTATTTTAATTATATTTTAATGTTGGTTTAAAATGTTTCAATGTTAATTTCAAATGTAAAACATAAGTTTCCTTCACTTTTCAGACAAAAATTTATTTTTGTGTACAAAATTTCCTTAACTATTTAGCAATAGTAATTATTAATGACTTTATTTAATAATTATTTTAACCAGTAATTAATAATAAATTAATAAATATATTTTTTTAAAAAAATATTTCATAATGAAAATGATATTTTTAAGAAAAGACTAGCTTGGGACTATGAGCCTGGACACACTGTTGGTTGGTCAAAATCGCTAGAATCGGTGCCACACTCGTACCTCGAATCTAAAATCTGCGAATTCTAAAATCAAGCATGTGCTTTCCTGTTCTGAAGTATAGTTTGTCTACGGTAAGACCACCCCCACACCACAAGGTCTGAGGCCGTCTGTTGCTATGGAAACATGAATACCTCACTCTAGGGCAAAAAAAATAGACCGAAGAGAAAGATTCCCTTTTTTTCGCCGACCCAAGTCAAAAACTGTTCTGAACAGTGATCCCACACCTCTACTTGAAATAGTTATACCTCGTTGTCATAGTCACCACCAGGGGGACAGACAAATGGCTGGGGGAGTTCTTACTTTAAACAAACTATAATCACGCATGATCTCGAATTATTTATTTAGTATTCGAATTATTTATTTAGTATTATCTCGTTTAGTATTAATTTTTTGAAAACAAAAATGTCTACGGGAAAATGAAAATGGTTTTCTTCCTCTTTCTGGAAGAGGACGACATCTTTGAAATTAATTTAGAACAATATATTTTCTCTTTCAGAAATTCGAAAGAAATTATATATGACTCTAATCACGATTTCGTGATTTCCTGGTAATGGTTTGGTTGATTTTTCTGTATTTATACAGGCATACGTTTCGTGCCTTAAAAAAGAACACTGACATCACTGCACGTGTAAAAGATCCTGAAGTATGTGGAACTGAATTATGATTGACTATTGAATATGTTAATATTTCCTTACAAATATATTGTCAGAACATGTGTGACAATATTATCGTACACATTTTTCTTTGGATCAATTTAACAGAGAAAGAGGGGAAATAACTCCTTACTTTACAACTATTTCAATGCAATGCTAAGTTTTAAAGCTTGTGGAGAATATGTCACTAAACTAAGACTTACAGTTCGAAATTAAATGGACGACATACTTAAAATACATTGTAAAAAAATGTGAGAAAAATAATAAAAGCACAATCAGTTTTCACTCATTGATTTCACTCATACTTAAATTGAATTTTTATTTGAAATTATATTCTTAACGGAAATGCGTTTTTTTATTTTATTTTGCGGTGAAAGGTTTCTTTGGAAGCAAAAAAATCAGCAAAAATTTTCTGTTTCTAAAAAAAAAAAATTGTCTTACGTACATTTGTAACTGCTCTCATATATTGGTTACTGAATAATGAAATATTTTTCCTCTTAGCTTAATAGAATATAAGACTTTTAAGGTAAATATTTTTGAAAAATCTGTATTTAAACATGCAGGAAATTTTTCTGTATATTTCGTAATTTTTTTTGTTCCAGTTTAAATCGCAGGATAATTTAAAGGCATTTCTATCTCTAAAATCTTACAAGTTGTATAAAAATACAGAGCACTGGAGAAATACGAAAAATTATCTCTCGCGTTTCAAATGGCAAACATTAATTTACGGACCTAAAAGAGATAGAAGTCTGTAATTTTTGTTTGGTTTTCGAAGTATTTGGAAAAAAATAAAATAAAATTTTTTGAAAAATAAAATTCTTGTCTCTGAGAGTTTCATCCGGAAAAGGGTGACTTCTTAGGGGAGGGGGGTGAAATCCAGGTGCTTCTAAAATTGGGTGAAACTCCCAAGATGTCAAAAATTTCATACCTCAAAAATAAAAAAAAGTAATCAGAGCACTTTGTAGTATTTAAATCGCAACAAAATATTTTCTAATAATTATTTCATTTAAATAAATCAATATATTTATCTTCTGTCTAGCTTCTCAGATAAATTAGTGAAACGTTGAGATAAAAAAAGCAAAGTAAAGGAAAAAAAATGAAAAAAAAATTTATAAATAAATAAAATTTATAAGAATCTAACTTTTGCGCAAATTTCGGCAAAATTGCTAGCATGTTTGTTATGATATCTTTAAATGCTATTTTATTGATAAAAATGTTAGTTTCAAAGTGAAAACATGAATTTTCTTTGCTTTTTAGACAAAAAAATTTTCTTGGTTCTGAAAACTTGATCTATTTTAAAGTTATTGCCTTTTCTGAAAACTATAAACGCTGTTGTTTCAACCGTACATCCTTCACAAAGAAAAGTTCAGAGTTTAAAGAAAAGTTAGAAGTTTAGAGTTTAAAGAAAAGTTAGAAGAAGAGTTGTATAGCCGCCATTTCGATCTGTTGCTTATTTTTTCCACCTTTAGATTGAATGAACTGCATAAATAACGATATAAGAATAATTCGTTTAATGAATTATTGTTTTAAAAAAAATTTTCATGAAAACTAAAATTCTTTTTTTTTTTTTTTTTGCATGAATGTTTCAGTTTTAGCTTAATAATGCATCAATGCTTAAAATGAATGAGTTTATAAAAAAAAACAGCTATTCTACATTTTATGGACATATTACCTTTTTTTATACTGCAAAAAATTCCGGCATTCAGGGTACCGTCACGTTTTACCGGAACATGTTACGAAATCAAAAATCTGATTAATCGTTTACAGCAATAATTGCCGTAAAAACACTGAATTAATCTAATTAAACAAATATTACAGTAAAAATTATGCGGTATAATATTTTACGGTAAAAATGATTTTTATGGATGATGCAATCAAAGTGCTGGTACTTTATACCGTAATTTCATCCGGAATTTTTTACAATATATTTATATAGAACTAAGGATAATTTTACATTGCGTCTTACCTTTAATTGAGAAGAATAACGCTTTTCATATGTCAAGAACTTCGCAAAATTTCTTTTTTCACAGGTCTTTCAGTGAAACTCATTTTAAATAATATAAATCTTTAGAAATAATACTTTTATTCACCAAGAATATCTCTTTCCTTATCATTCTAATACTTATCATTCTATAAAATCTTCTCGAAAACAAGAGATAGTTATTTTTCTTTGGATAAAACAGCCGTGATCATAAAATAAAGATACTATAAACATACATTAATAATCCATTTTAACGTGATTTAGGTTAAAATATTGCTTTTTCCGTTTCTTTAATCTTCTTTAGATAATGCAGATATTATATTGAATAAGTTACGTTTCTTTCAATAAATCATTTTTTACGATCATTTAATAATCATAAGAATAATCTTGCGTAAATTGTCCAAGATAATTTAAACACTCAAACTTGCTTGTTAAAGAGATTTTTCTCTTAAAAAAATAAATGCAGTTTTTATTAAAAAAAATACTTTTTTGACATTTTAATATTTAAAAACTATTTTACCGATTTCGTTCCAATTTTGTATTTTGTGATTTAAAATTTAGCAAAACTGGTATAGGAAAAATGGAAAATATTTCTTATAATCATTAATGCAGCATAGCGACATTATCTTTAACTGTTTTATTTTGCATGATATTGTATTTCAAGGAATGAGTTTGACAGTTACATACTTGCAAGCGTCGTTGCGCGTGGATTAACCAATCAGGCTCGCTAGACACGCGTGACGTTGATTGCTGGTATTCAATGCAATCTGATTCTAAAATTAAGTCTATAACTCTAAGACACTATGCTCAACCATGTGCTTAATTGCAGAATCTTATTGCGTACATATAATTTTTAATCCCATTATTAAGTCCTAAAGACATAGTGAAATCCGTAAAAGATAAAATTAATATGAAAGTGGTCCGAATATTCGACTATTCTCCTGTGTAAATTATTGTGACTTTCCCGATTTCGGTATGATGACGTTTTTTCTTTTTTTCATAAGAGCCAAAAAACCCAATCCGTGGAGAAAAAGATATGTTTATTTAGAGAAAATTTTTTTTATCTTATTTAGAAGCATAAAAAAAGTTTACGCAAATTAGTTAGCATTTGTAAAATTAGAATCAAAACGTATGAAGAATCATAATGAAGTATAATGAAAAAAATAGCATTATGTAGGAGGAAGTATAATGAATGAAGAATCTAATCTCTAGATTAAAAGTTATTAAGTTGTTTTTTGTTTAATGTGTGTATATATATTTTTTTCCAACGCCTACCTGGGTTGACATTCGTTAATTCAGACGTATTAGTGAAGATTTGTTAGTCACTCTTTTAGGGGTACCATATTAGGTGAGCTAACATTGCTCCTACAGTAAGGACAGATAGTACAGAGAATGAAAGAACATTCATGCCTTGTCCGGGATTCGAACGATGGACATTTCTGATATAAGGCTAGTTCACTAACCCCTACACAGTCTAGTTGGCATATGTGCACATGAGAATGTTTTATTTTTTGGTTTCAATTTAACAGCGATTTTGTTCTTTAAAGTTCTTCAAAGCGTTTTTTCGAGCTTTTAAAAACTCGTAAAATGTTCCAAATGCAATAAAAATATACTTGAGAAGTCTTAATAATCAGGGTTGTTTATTTTCTCTTTCAAGAACAGGCCTCCTAATTTATTTACGTATATACGCATTGAAATGCCACAAATTCTCAAAAAGCATATAAAAAACCAATATGACATATATTTTGCGTTATTTTTAATAAAACTTTAGGTAAATTTTTTTATTTACCTTTAGGAAACAGGAAAATATCAAAGTTATTTCTGTCTATATTAAAAAATCGTAAGACTTCAACGCCATCCCTGTTTGGGTGTTCAACTCAAAGTTACATTTTGTTTCGCTACGTAAAAATAATACATGAGTGCTAACGTGCGTGGAAAAATGTACAGGAAATACGATGGAATAAAAAATTTTAACATTGGATAATTTGGTCGAGAATTACTAACTGTTTTAACTTGCTGAAAAAGATGCCTTTCTGGCCGCTCTGCACGTCACAGGAATATAAATACAGAGTTGAAATTTGACACGCAGACAGGTCCATATTTGTTTATGAACTTAGCATAGAATTTCCTGTTTTTTTTTAATGTTTATATTTTTTGAATACTACATTTTTCGAAGGTTTAAATTTTCTTCTTACAATTTTAGCGAGAGTTTTTGTTTTTAAAAATTTCTATTTGTTTGAAAGTTATTGCAAATTTAAGCGCTTTTTCGTGATTTTTACAGCTTTTTTGCTTTAAATATTTGCTATATATCCATTGTGTCGAAAATTTATTTTCCTCTGACGAGATATTTATTTTATAAGCTCGCGCTTGAGTTGATGTTAATAAAAATTAGCAAAAGTCAGAGAGAGATTACCCGCTGCCAGATATAAATTTTAATATTCATTGTGAAATGTTATAAAAATAGGAACTTAATAAATTGTGATAAATACCCATTTCCTATTTGAATTGTTATAAATATCTTCAACGAGTATTGTTAAAAGTTGTTAATTACTTTTTATGTAAGCTAAAAGCTAACTTTTGTTTTCTGTTAAAACTGCCGAGTTGCCATGGCAACGTCTTCTCTTTGTGAAACAAGAAATAATCGTCTGAAAATTATTATATAAATAAAATGTTGTTCTTTTTCACTCGAAGTTTTATTATTTAGTCAGATTTATTATTTAGAGAAGTAGAGAACGACAGAATATTTTACTTTCTGATAGAGTCTCGTAACAAGTATTGCTACTTTGCATTTATATCTTCTTATTGAGTCCCACAATCTATATTCCTAGGGTTAATTTTTGTACAGTTGCTTGTAAGTACAAATGATTGTTTGTCAAATCTAGGCAATCGTCTATTTAGTTACGATTAACGCATTGACAAAATGTTCTTACATAGGGATACAATAATTGTTTATTGTGAAACTAAAATGTTTATTGTGTTAGTGGGAAATATTTACGGTTAATGAGAAGTAAACGGGTAGACTATACTTGAGGGTGCCCCCGCCAAGTTGTGATCGCGATTGATCGCCAAGCGGCCAAGCTGGGCGATGTTGAAAGCCAATCATGATTCTGATTGGTTCAGATTTTGATCGTGATTCTGATTAGTTTAGAATTTAGCGTTGTTTTTAAATGAATTTTTAAATGTAACTTCAGAGATCCGTTAGTTCTACTTTGGATAACGGCTGGTAAGGTTATTTTTGCTTCTGGTACTAAAAATGAATACTGTCAATAAGATAAATCTTAAGCTTCTGTACGATTTTAATAACAATGAAAAAAAAACAGTGATTGACTGGTGTATGAATGAAGGTTTAATTAATAATAGATATAAATGTCCTGTTTGTGGGTTACCACGGCGTTCCGGGCGAACAAGTATGGCGCCAAACATAAGTCGCCAATTTCGCTAAGGGGCACCCTCAAGTATATTTTTCCCGAAGTAAACAATGATGACTGCGTAGCAATTACTGATGTTGGCGAGCGAAGCTTCCTGAAAAATTCATTACGCAGTCGTCATACAGAGAAAAGTTTTGATATTAAAACAGAAGAAAGTCAAATATTGTATAATTAAATAGGAATTAAGCGAAGATTAAACTAGGATCATAATTCTTCCTTTGGAATTACAAAATATCGAATATTTTTACTACCAGTTTTCACAAAACAAAGTTCATAAGTAAGTTTACTTTAGAAAAGGGAATATTGAGGTTATAATTCGGCCAACTTGCGCTCCTCCTAATTCCCTTATGATTTTGTGGCTTGGTGTGGTGGTGTCATAACAACATGTCTCATCAAGTTTGAGAGTTATGGGTTAATATTTAGAGACAATATAGGCCAGATGTTCGCAATTTTTTACAGCTACGGAGCCCTAAATGATTGAGCTTCTTTTGGCGGAACTTCAAGTTAATAAATAAAATTAGTAGCGTTAGTAAAGTTAATAAATAGAATTAGCGGATATACTAACAAAAAAATAATAACAAACTCCAAATTATTTTGATCATCATTAGCGTGAAGAAGGAATTCTAATCTCTTATTAATAATAATTAATAAATAGACTAATAATAATTAATAATATTAATAGACTTAAAATTATAAGTTTTGTGCCAAATAGTTTAGTTTGTGATGAATTCGATAGTCGAATTTAAGATCACGACGTTTTCACTATAAAGGGAAATATTGAAGTTTCAATGAGATATCTCCTTATGTCACCCTAATTTGCCTTAATTTATTGCAATAAGACACGTGACTTAGTTTGAAAACAACAGATTAATATTTTACGGAAAATTTAGTTTTTAATGTATCTGCAAAGCATCAGAGAAAAATTTGAAAAATTCAAAGTTCAGATGCTACATTATAAAGGGAATAGCGACGTTAAATTTAAACCTTCTTTGTGCTGCCCTAATTCATTAATAATCCTGTGACTTGGGGTGGTGTATAGGCAAATTGTAATAATAAATGCGACCAAGTTTGAAAAATAAGAGTGAATATTTAAGGACAGATATAGGCATTCATGTACATGCGCAGAAAGGACGATAAATCTTCGGAATTTTTTTAGGTGTTTTCATCATGATGTTTTCATTATGAAGGGGAATATTGAGGTTATAAATCGGGTCCTTATTACGCCTGCTATTTCGTCTATACTTTTGTGACTTGATCTGGTGTTCTGGTATGTTATAAGAATATTTCTTACAAATTCGGAAAATAAGGTAAATATTTTAAGGAAAATATAGTCCATTATGTATGAGCAAAAATATGAGGAAATCTTGAAAAATAAAAAGTTCAGATGCTACATTATAAAGGAAATATTGACATTAAATTTTGGTTTCCTTGTGTTCCTCCCCCCTAAATCGTTCATAGATTTGCAGTACTGCGTATTGTGTAAGTTATAATAAATGTGGTAAAATAAATGTGGCCAAGTTTGAAGTCTATAGGTGGTAATTTTGGGGAACATTTAGGTTTTCATGTATTAGGGGGACAGGAAAGTAATGTCGTTTCGCCGCATTAAAGATTCGTTAGTCAAAGAACCAATTAATTTTTTTTCGATTCATTTTTGATGCGGCATTGAAAGGTTGTTGCTAACGAGAGTGAATTATCGATTAAAAATAAAATCTTGATAACAAATATCAGATGCACCTAAACGACATTACTTTCTCCCCCTAATATATGCAGTGAACGCAAGTAACCTTCAGAAATTTTTTGAATTCCCGTCGCTTTCACTACATATTCTTTTCT